CTTTGTACAAAAGTCGTCTGCATGAGAGCCTCTGTCCCACCTTTTTTTTACAACACAGGGGGCAAACGAGCATGCGGCTCACCTGATGGTAAGTGACTACCGCCGCCCATGATCACCCACAACACCAGCGGCATTGCAGGTGTGCTGCCGGCCTTTTAAAAAGGAATATACTCTTTTCTTGAAGGTTATGTTGTCGTATCGGTTCGGAAATACTGCTGCTGGAAGTTGATTCCAAAGAATGGTTGTGCGTGGAAGAAAGTGCCTTGAAAAACGCACGGTGGAAGACCGCCACTCGTCCAGATGATTGGGATGAAACTTTAGTTTGTGGCGGGTTGTACGGTGGTGAAAATCAGCAGCAGGTATCAATCCGAACAATTCCTCAGAACACTCCCCATGATAAATTCGGTAGAAGATGCACAGAGATGCAACATCTCTGCGCAGTTCTTCTGCCTTACATAGCTATTTCGGTTTAAAAGGTCAGATAGGGCAATAAAATTACAGGGTGAAGAGACATAACCCACAATACAGTAACAGGATTATTATTAATGAGTTCTAACAACCTCATTGCTAACAATATACCCTATCAGGCTGACCTCCAAGCGGTTCCCCCTGGAAACCATTGTAGTTAATTTTTGTTGAATTCTTTACGATAAGCCGACAGACCTGTCTTCATCCTCACCTATCATCTTTCACTGGTACTCCGCTACCATATACCGACATTGCAGGTCGGGGTACCATTCCATTTTTATCCATTAAAATTACCCATAATCTTAAGGGAGAAAGATTGTTAGTAATGCGTGGCTAAAAGCCTATACCTAGTAATACATTTATATCTCCCTAAAAACTATCGTGGTAAATTCATCAAAATGGACTAACTGGGACGCTTTCATCCTAATAGATGAAGATGAAAGCGTTCTCTCACTGAAACCCCGCCAGTGCATGTAAGCTGTAAGCGCATACTAAAAAAAACATCATAGTCCTCTGTAATGGCAACGCATGAAGGATACGATGGATATACCAATATATTCGGTGATGTTCATGCTAATATCCTACTGTTTATTGTCTATAGGCGACGGTTACCACTTTCAATCCTGTAGGCCGTCGGCTTGTTTGCTATTCGAATGTCTATGCCAGTATCTACTAATATTTTTCTTCATAACTAGCTAATAAATTATCTACAATTTCCTTGTACTTGTAACAAAGTTATTCCAATATTGACTTATTTGAAAATTTCCACAATAACTTCGCGTATTTATCTAGAATGTTATTGGAGAGCCAATTGAATTCTGCACTTGATTGCATTATTACTTTTCTTTCTTGTGTTTTAAAAAAAAACAAACAAGTATTATTTTATTGAGATGCACGATGTTTAAGATTTAGTTTTTTTTTTTTTTAGAATAAAGGCGGTTTTTATGTATGTTGCACTATATTAACCAGATATTAACGTGAGGGAGACTTTGTACAAAAGTCGATTGCTTGGGTACCTCTGTCCCATTCGTGTTTCTACCGTGAAGCAGTTGTGTTTGCATGGCTGTGTTTCGGTTTGAAGGGTGGGATATGGCGTGAATTTACCGGGTACAGAGGAATAACACTCGAGTCCTCAGGAATGGCAACGCATGGGGGGTATCATGGGCGAAACAGTATACTCTGTTGTGTCTATGGTACTACTCATGTCTATAGGCGACGGTTACCACTTTACATCAGGTGGGCCGTCAGCTTATTTGCCATTCTAAGTTTTTATTTATTCTTCTAACAATTGATAGAGATTTGTCCCGTGTTGACATAATTTTTGTTTTATTGGTATTTAAATGTACTGTTGCCTCATATATAAGTTTTGTCCTTAATTTCTATTTATTATCATATATATGTTTCTTAAATGCTTAAGGGATTTTTCAATACGGAACATTAACATGTAATAGATTTTCTCAACGAATATTTAATCCAGGTCTTTCTAAATTATACTCGACTTTTATTTTTTGTTTAAATAGCGATTATTCTCGTATTGAAGCCATATTTGTTTCATTTGTTAATTTGTAGGTTATTTTTAATTATATTAATTTTTTATGTATATATAAATTACTTGTTTAATACCAGAGAGCAGTTTTAACCATGCCCACATTAATTCAAGCTCAACACCGCAATAAACTCACGTTCTAATCTAAAATATCCGAATTGGAGGCATCACTCGCGCTTTGCCGACCCTTTTGTATAATGTTAATGTAAATCTTGTGTCGCAGTATAAACCTGAAAACCGCAGGCAAGGAAGTTGCTTGGTGGTAAAACCAAACAGAGGTCTCTATGCAAATGACTTTATGCAGTCTCTCTTAAGCTAATTTGTACGTTTAAATATTTTTATCATTACTCATATTATAAATGTGTAATAAACATAATTAAGTTGTAATATATACAAAAACAATTTATTATTATTAATATTATTATAAAACTAAACTATTGAACCGATTTTGATAAAATTTCTATGGAATCATTCTGACAGCATAACTTTTGAAATAAAAAATCATTTTTAAAATCTGTTTTTAACTGACGGACTTATGAGGAAACAAATATTGAAAAATACAATCGAATTAAGAACCTTCTTCTTTTTGAAGTCGGTTAAAAATAAAGTTTGTTTGTTTGTTACTTTATAACGCCTTAACTACTTAACCAATTATTATGATATTTGGTATACAGGTACTAATTGGGATAAAGAAAGATATAAGCTACTTTTTATTCCAGTATAAGATTTTACTCATGACTTCGTCCGGAATACTAAGACATACTCGTATTCATTGACAAGTCAAAAAAGCAGTCTATATTCTTCTCTATACCATACACTTAATATATTTTTATACCAAATTTCATAGTAATTGGTTAATACGCTAAGGCTCACTTTTACATTTACAAGAATTTGAAAGTGTGTTTATTTAATTGATTGCTCATAACCCTTTGGAATTGTAATGCTTCGACTAATTGTCATAACATTTTAACACTTTCTACCGTCGTACGGCTCGCCATCGACAGGGAGTTCATCCTCATGTCCTACAGCCTCAATGGTCGCGTACTGCGCGGTTTCAGAGATGTTTCCTCCCACGAACATTCAGGTTGTGGAATGAGCTCCCTGCCGAGGTTTTCCCAAGAGACTACAGCATGGGGTTCTTCAAAAGGGGGGTAAAGAGGTTTCTTCAGGGTCGGCAACGCGCGCGTAATACCTCTGGTATTGCAGGTGTTCATAGGCTACGGTAACCGCTTACCATCAGGTGGGCCGTATGCTTGTTTGCCACCTCAGTGGTATAAAAAAAAACTTAATAATTGAGAGGGAGGAGGGCATATGCTTTATTCATCTCGTTCAATTAATATATTCTAGTCTAGTGGTCGAAGTAAAAGTAAAGTAAGTAATAAAAACTAGTTCAAAATTAACTAAAAACTAGTTATGTGTATATTAATTACTCAATCTCACGTAGATTTTTGTCGCAAAACACTTTTTTATCCCGGCAATGCGATCCCATAGTATAATTAATAGTTAGTAGTAATAGTAAAAGTTAACCCTTTAACGTTATATATTATTAACTACTTACAAGCATTATTCTTTGCAACATGAACCTTTAAATTTTTACTGATTTCTAAAACAAAGTGATATTTTTTCATCGACACTTCTTTTGTATTTGTAGCTAACACGAGAAAGTTCGCAAACTTCTTAATTTGATCCGTTATCTCTTTACATTGTTTTCTAAGTGGAATATAAATGTAATCATGTGTATCAGATCTAAAGGTTTTTTTAATATACTACTCAAAATACGAGTGTATTACTGAAATTTAGATTCAGAGGGCCGGCCTACCATGAAATATTTTCCGAAATTTCGGGGACGAACGAAATAGAAATTTGATGTTAAAATTACATGCCGTTTAAAATTATTAAAAATATTAAAATATTGTTCCTCTGGACTATTAGGATAGGATATATGATGAATGAAACGTTAAGCTACATTTACTGGGTCGATTTAGCCACGAACAAAAACACGAATTTGAGCCCGAAAATTCGGAATTTCATTTCATGGTAGGCCCCCTGATATATTTTTTTAATACATAATATATATTTTTTTTTATTTCAAATAGACAACATAGTAATTTAAAATAAAAAAAGCTTTTTATATGTAAATAAAAGGGGGAGATAATCCTTTCCATTGAAAGATAAGTAATTAAAATATTTCGTAAGGATATCGTTTAATACAGACGCTAAAAAATGCACTGGAATTGAGCACTTTTAAACATTTTTTTTTTTAAAGAAGAGCTACTTTTTTAAATTCTAAAAGTATCCATTGATCCTTCATCCTCATCGTTTTGTCGTCCATTGGTGGCCTGCCATTGTATTACTATTATTGTAGGCCATACACCATTCCATCTTCGTCCATTATAAAAAAAGGGCGAAACATCAAAATACGAATACTTGACAATTAAAGAACAGCCAAATTAAATTCAGTGTAGTATCAAATATATTTACTACTGGTTTTCTCTCTAGTTTTAGAAATTTATAGTTTTACCCGTGTAAATAAAAAGGCCTAATCTATGAAAGTGTCCCTTGAAAATCTGTGTACTAATTTTCAAATCCGTTTATTAAAAATCTTTCAAATATCTTTATAATACCGTATAGCCGTGTGATCTCGGCATAAACACGTCCATCCTTTCCTTTGCCGTGGGTATCGTAAGAAGCGACTAAGGAAACTTAATGATCAGCGGCGTCCATCTTAAAACATCATCAAAGCCTACCACCGGTTGCTATCCCACTTGCCAAGCGTAGTAACTATTTACAAAACCCACCTTATGGGAGAGGATTGTGTTCAGCAATATACATTTAACGGCTGATATGACGATCTCCATAATACACATATAAAAAATTTATATTTAACAATAAATTTTCTTACTCAACTGCTATTACACAAAAAAAATATTAGCGTTCACAAATACAATTATAAAACTATAAAGTAACAAAAAAATTAATCACTTACCATACATAACTAAACTGGCTTTACAGAGTCCTTTAGCAAAAATGTTCCAAAACCACTCGGTACCAGTTCTTTTGTCACTGCAATACAACAACGAAGAAAAGTCACGATAAAGTTTTGGATCAGCTGGAGACGTGCGTCCCCCACAAGCAACAATCCACGACTGAAAGTGTAGAGTACTCGTGTACTGAAAACGTGAAGCGTAATCTTGAAGCTTTGAGTCGACCGCTTACGGTGACGTTGTATTTTAATATTTTCAACAAGCTTTATATAAATGAAATGCATATTCCATTTATATATATTTATATGTATATATATATATATATATATATATATATATATATATATATATATATATATATATATATATATATATATATATATATATATATATATATATATATGTCCACCTGCACCTGCACCGCTGACTCTCTGCAATGCATTTCAGGTGGTCGTCACTCCGTTTAGCGGGGGGTTGTTCTACACTGCGTTTGCCCATACGGGGTCGCCACTCAAGAACCTTTCTCCTGAAAATATGCTTTGTTATAATTTATTTATTTTCTTAATCAACTAGGAGAGCATTACAGTTTCCAAATATGCAACCTAGCAAAGTACAAGAATAAATATAAAACGTAAACAATCCTATAATTAATGTAATAAATGCGAAACCAAGAAAGAATGGATGGATGGATGAGTGGATGACTCTTTCACGCAAAAACCGCTGAACGGATTTGAATGAATTATGGTACAAGGGTAGATTATATCTTAGTTAAGTACATAGGATAATTCATGTACTGATACATGCAGTTGAGGCTGCGGAATGCAGCTAGTAAACAATAAATAAACTTAAAGCAATACATAGCAATATGCTACACATAGTACACAGGCCTCATAGAATACACTGTAACGTCCACCCCTCATGCGTTGCTATTTCCGATGATTAAGTTCTTATGCCTTCGCCTTCTATAATTTTACTGCCATATTTATTTATACAAACTTCAAGCCGTTTCGGAGGAGTTTGGTAACAAACACCATGACACGAGAATTTTATATGTAAGATATAATCCTATGTAATATTCTACACTGGGAGACTTTGTACTAAAGTCGTCTAAATGAGTGCCTCCGCTCCACTCATGTTTTACTTCTGTCCTTTTATATTTGCATGCTTGTTTAATTTTAAGGATCAGATATGGTAATTATAAATTAAATATTACTTTATTTAATACTTTAACTTATTGTGCTTATTTAATTCTCTATTTGTCCAATGTTTGACTGGTTGAAAACATCATCCTGTGTTTAGCACCATATGTACATATATGTACATATATATATATATATATATATATATATATATATATATATATATATATATATATATATATATATATATATATATACATTGTACATTGAAATTCGTATAAATAAATATGGCAGACGAAGGCATAAGAACTTAATCATCGGAAATAGCAACGCATGAGGGGCGGGCGTCACAGTGTATTCTATGAGGCCTGTGTACTATGTGTACTACCTTATATTACTATTAGTTTAGCCGTTAAAGTATCAATATATATTATTATGTGTAGCATATTGCTATGTATTGCTTTAAGTTTATTTATTGTTTACTAGTTGCATTCCGCAGCCTCACCTGCATGTATCAGTACATGAATTATCCTATGTACTTAACTAAGATCAGTACATAAATTATCCTATGTACTTAACGTACCATATTTTATTCAAATCCGTTCAGCGGTTTTTGCGTGAAAGAGTCATCCACTCATCCATCCATCCATTCTTTCTTAGTTTCGCATTTATTACATTAATTATAGGATTGTTTACGTTTTATATTTATTCTTGTACTTTGCTAGGTTGCATATTTAGAAACTGTAATGCTCTCCTAGTTGATTAAGAAAATAAATACATTATAACAAAGCATATTTTCAGGAAGAAAGGTTCTTGAGTGGCAACCCTGTACGGGTAAACGCAGTGTAGAAGGACCCCCCGCTAAACGGAGTGACGACCTGAAATGCATTGCAGGGAGTCAGTGGATGCAGGTGACTTAGGACCGTTCTTTTTGACAGTCTGTGGAGGAGGCTTATGTCCAGCAGTGGACGGATAATGACTAAAATGATGAAGATGATATTTTCAGTATTAACCAAGTTAAAACTGCTACATGATCATTTGTCGTATATTTCATATATTCTTTCAAAGACAAGAACGGCCGGTTATCACTTCCAATCTGTCAGACAAAGTGTCTAACAATATTTTACTGAACTAGAAACTGATCTTGTGGAAGTCCATACCACTGGTTATTTAAATAGAATAATAATTATATATATTATAGTGTAATCATCGAGTGTTGGTCAGTCACACACATACTAATGGTAACGGAATTAAACAAAACAATTCCATGTAAATAATCAGTGCCTAATAATAGACATTGGGGGGGAAAGGGATTCTTAGTAATGGAGACCCCATCGCTAGCAATATACCCAACCAGGTCGACCTCCTCGCGGTTCTCCCTGAAAACTATCATGGTTCGTTCCTGATGAATTCATCATGATGGGCTAACTGGCCTGTTTTCATTCTCATCTATCACCCTTCACTGGTGCTCGGCCAGCGTATCCCGTTAGCGCAGGCGGGGTTACCATACCATTTTCACCCATAAAAAAAAATAATAGATATTACATTATAATTTTTCCTATTTTTTTTTCGAGCGTTTTATTCTTTATGCTTGTTACACAAAAGCGTAGAACGAGCTGCGAGATCACTTGTTCTTAGCTACGAGTCTGAAGTCGTAGACGTTGCGTAGCACACAATGCTTCGTAGTATTACGTCTACGAATATCATGAATACTACGAAATCATCTCACAACACAAATATACTTTCTATAAGTCTGCTCAGACGACGGAGACTTTGTCCGTCAACAAAATTTCCGTTTCTAGGTGTTTTATTTAATACTAATTGGCCATTATATAAAATTAATATAAAATAATACTACATTAATATAAAAATTGTCCTTTTTTTTACAACGCAGGGGGCAAACGAGCTTGTGGCTCACCTGATGGTAAGTGACTACCGCCGCCCATGGTCACCCACAACACCTACGGCATTGCGAATGTGCTGCCGGCCTTCTAAAAAGGAATATGCTCTTTTCTTGAAGGTTATGTTGTCGTATCGGTTCGGAAATACTGCTGCTGGAAGTATTTCTCAAATAAAAGAAAATGAGCGAGAAATTGTTAGAAACTGAAGGCTTCATTGCTAGCAATACCATTAGATATACCTCGAGTGGTCTCCCATGGAAACCATCGTAGTTAATTCTTAGTGAATTCGTTAAAATGGATCAACTTACTTTCTCTTTATCTATCATCCCTCACCAGTCGCAAGCGTATAATATTAAACTTTGAAACTCGCATCCAATATAGCGCTGTAGTTTTTTAAGTGATTCCGGAACAAATATAGAGACAAACAAAATTTCAAAAAAATATATTGTTTTGACATCTATTAGTCTTATTAGGTCACTTCAAAAATTATTTTTCTTAAATATACATATCATTCTTATAGACACGATCTCGTTACAATTTCATTACATTAATAAGATAATATGTCCATTTAAAAACGCGTTCAGCCTCTTTCAAACATAATATCTGCCACTTTGTACCGATAAATTACTTTTACCTTTGCGTGTTCAGATTTTGTACCTACGCAAAATTAATATTACGCGTCCCTTGAAACGCTCCACTGGTTTTGTTGTGCATACAGTTTTATTAAAAACTGATGAAATGCAAAATAATTGATTTATAGGTCGTAACTTCAGCCTATACTTGTCTATCTATATTCACGCCAAGATGCTTGCAGGGTAGGCAGAGTGAATCGAGTTATCAAAGAACTTTATCTTTACATTTTTTTTACAACACAGGGGGCAAACGAGCATGCGGCTCACCTGATAGTAAGTGACTACCGTCGCCCATGGTCATCCACAACACCAACGGCATTGCAGGTGTGCTGCCGGCCTTTTAAAAAGGAATATCCTCTTTGGATCTGAACATCTCTGAGTAAAAGAATTGCGAGTATGTGTCATTTCTAGCAATATACCCTATCAGGTGGTCCTTCACGGATTCCCCCTGTCATTTAATTTCTAGTGAATTCGTCTCGATGGACTAACTGACTCGACTATATCCTCGCTTATCATCACTCACTAATACCCTGCCAACCGGCAACGCAGTTATCATTCATTTTTTGTTTCATAAAAATACATAATTTCTCTTTTTATCCAATTATATTTCCACAATTCCTCTCATGCATTGAGTCATCTTTCATTTTCAACCAACTTCAAAAAGGAGAAGAATTCCAAAGCGACTATATTTTTAATCTTTTAATTTTAAATCATAATAATTATTGGCAACCAAAAACTGTACATGTCGTAAGAGGTGACTAAAGAAACTTAATAGTCGAGGGATAAACCGCAGTTGGCATCGCGCGTAATACCCCTAGTATTACGGGTGTTCATAGGCTACGGTAACCGCTTACCATCAAGTGAGCCGTAAAGTTGCCACTTTAGTGGTATAAAAAAAAACTCTTAAAACTCTTAAAACTACACCAAAAGCTTAACTACACTTACTGACTTCAATCATGGCAATGAGTAACTAAACTACTTTTTTTTCGATTGTATTAAAATTTCTATGTACCACCACTCTGAAAGTACATCCTATTATATTAAAATTGTGTTTTCCAAATCGGTTTATAAATAAGAGTTCTAAGGTAGCAAACATAACAAAAGTACACCCTAATTGAAAACCCCTACTTAAAAATGAAGTCGATTGAAAATCGATTCAGAATCTACGATACACGTAACATGATACTTCCATGCACAAAAAAAACATATGTATTGAGAATCTTCTCCTTTTGCAAATAAATGATCACAAATTTTAAAGCGGAAAATTTAAAGATAAGGATTTCCTTGGTCTTCTTCTGGATGGGGTCGACTTTGTGTCTCCTAAACCTATTAACGCGGACAAAGGACAAACTCTTGAGTAATGGCGGACATCAAGACGAATTCGCGCCAAAAGCCTATTTAAATTACCTAAATGGTTACTTCTATCGTCTAATTGTAATAATAATTTGTTTCCCCACTGATTTATCTTGAAATATTAATAT